TGGTAATAACACCTGATTGGTCCAAACCCTTTGAGATAATGACTGATGCTAGTGACTGGGCAGTTGGAGCAGTGTTGGGTCAAAAGAGAGAAAAGATTTTTCATCCCGTTTACTATGCAAGCAAAACTCTTAATGATGCTCAAATCAATTACACCACTACTGAAAAGGAATTATTAGCTGTGGTCTTTGCTTTTGAAAAATTCAGATCATACTTGATGGGAACCAAAGTAATTGTTCATACTAATCATGCGGCCATCAAGTATCTTATTTCTAAAAAAGATGCAAAGCCAATGTTAATAAGATGGGTCTTCCTTTTGCAAGAGTTTGATTTGGAAATCATTTATAGAAAAGGGGTGGATAATCAAGTGGCCGACCATCTGTCAAGATTGGAAAAACAAGACAAACCAATGCAAAGTAGTGACATCTGTGAAGTATTTCCTGATGATAGAATTTTGGTTCTTAATCATTCTACTGTGCCTTGGTTTGTTGATCTTGTTAATTGCATAGCTTGTGGGATTATTCCCGAGGAATTCAATAAGTATCAAAGAAAGAAGCTCATCTATGATTCAAATAAATATTTATGGGATGGTCCTTTCTTGTTTAAAATCTGTGCAGATCAGGTGATTAGAAGATGCATCCCAAAAGAAGAAGTACCATCAGTTCTACAGCACTGCCATGCAGGACCATGTGAAGGACATTTTGGAGAAAGTAGGACAATATCCAAGGTTTTGCAATCAGGATTCTACTGGCCTACTTTGCACAATGATGCTCAAAACTTTGTAAAAAGTTACAATGAGTGTCAGAGGAGTGGAAATATCTCTAGAAGAAATGAAATGCCTTTAAACGAAATTCTAGAAATAGAATTATTTGATGTTTGGGGTATAGACTTCATGGGACCTTTTTCTCTGTCCAATAATTGTGCCTACACATTGGTAGCTGTGGACTATGTGTCCAAATGGATGGAAGCCATGGCTTGCCATTCCAATGATGCTAAAACAGTTGTGAAGTTTTTACAAAAGCACATATTCACTAGATTTGGTACACTTCGTGCCTTAATTGGTGATGAAGGCACTCACTTCATAAACAACATGTTAGAAGAAGTCCTTGATAAGTATGACCTCAAGCATAGGGTAGCAACTGCCTACCATCCTCAGACCAATGGATTAGCTGAATTGTCAAATAGGGAGATAAAAGGGATTTTGGCCAAAGTAGTCAAGCCACATAGAAAGGATTGAGCCTCTAAGTTAGATGATGCATTGTGGGCCTACCGGACTGCTTACAGAACCCCTATTGGTATGTCTCCCTATAAATTGGTCTTTGGAAAAGTGTGTCATTTACCTGTGGAATTAGAGCACAAGGCCTATTGGGCCATTAAGGAACTAAACATGAGTTTAGATGAGGCCGGAAGAAAAAGGACTTTGCAGCTTTGTGAACTGGAAGAACATAGGAATTTTTCCTATGAAAATGCTAAGCTTTACAAAGAAAATACCAAAAAATGGCATGATAAAAAGATTCTTCCAAAAGAGTTCATAGAAGGCCAAAAAGTCCTGTTGTTCAATTCAAGGTTAAAATTATTTCCGGGAAAGCTGAATTCCCGATGGACTGGACCTTTTGTTATTTCCAAGGTATACCCCTATGGAGTCATTGACCTGATAGATCCGGAGAGGGGTACCACTTTCAAAGTGAATGGACAAAAATTAAAACCTTTCTTTGAGTCCATGAGTGTTACACAACCTATTGAGGTTATCTTTCTAAAATAATAAGTSTTTGTAAATATTTAGTATATATATATATATAATTGTAAGATGTTATTTTCATTTTATTTTGCATTTTCATTTTTTTTAATTTTTAGAGTAAGCTTTTAATTTTATTTCTTTTTTCTTCCAGAATAATTATCTGTTTATTTCATAATATGTAATATATTAAGTTTATATTAAAAGGTTTGGATCTTGTTTTAATTGTCTTTGGGCCAACCGGCCCAATCTCTCGATTAACCAGACCCAGCTAAAAACAATTGATGGCCATCCTCATTTCTTAACAGGCCACAAGGAAGGTAGCCCAAAGATGAATCCGTGATCATGAAGCCCAAAAAGAGCAGGCCGTGAATAAAAGAGCCCAAGCCACAAGGCCGCGAAGATGAGCCCAACGACTAAGCCTGCGATCGGTACGACCTTGACAAAAATCCCGCGCAATAGTACCTGTTAACGTCCGGTGACTGTCTCTTCATCTCCAAACTCTCAACTCACCAGCAACATCATCGTACCCTCTTCTCCATCATACCAAGAACAGTCAGCCATAGCTCAACAAATAAGCATTTTGGAGAAGGAATAGACTTCATGTGCACTGGCATTGCTAAGCAAGGTACGATTTCTGACTAATCACACAAGTAGCTCGATAACTGTCAATCATCCAGGAAAGTATTAAAATTTTCGAAGCAAAAATCTTGGAAACCAAGTTTAGAGGCAATATACCTTTAATCACTGTTCAACAACCATTTGGGTTTGATATTAGCCACTGTTCACAACCATAACTCTTCTTTGCTCAAAGAAACACCACCAGTCCCCTGTTCTATTGGTATGGCTATCATAAAAACTCGAGCAAGAAGAAGGGAAGGAGAATCAGATTCCATGCCCCATGAAATCAATCATGATCACTCCAGCGAGAGTGAAGAAGAACCCATTGATGCCATTCCCTTGAGACAGGTCCCTTTTGCTAAGATCAGGCCTCAACCATTCACTGAACCCCAAACTCAGGCTACTGTGATTATAAAGTCTGAGCCACAACCTTTTCCACAATACCAATTTGGCCCAAGAATGACCAGAAGCAGGGCTAAGGGTTTGATCAATTTCAAGCCAATAAAGCAAAAGAAGGGTACAGTGATTGAAGTATCTGATGATAGTGATTCACCATCCATGAGCCATGATGTTCATAGCAGCTCAAGCAGACCAACACAAGAGGACTTAACCTTTTTGAATATGATGGCAGATGCAGCAACTCAGATAAACAGTCAGAGCATACCTTCAAGCACAACAGAGAGGCTCCAAACAGGTTTAAAAGTTTCTGGACCTTTAACTATGGATTTGTTGTCTAGCTTTCCTGTTTATCCTCAAGCAAGTGAGGGATTTATGTTAAGAAAATATGTGGATGAGGCCATTGCTGCCTCTAATGAGGTATTGGGCCTAAGATCAGCAACTTGTTCCCCTGCTATAGCTATGATCCGAACTCAGCCTTCTATGGCTGCTTAAGCACCTAGAAAGGGAAATTCATCCCTTAAGCACTCTGTTAGTGCTGCTCTGGCAGCCATGGACAGGATGATTAGGAGGGAACCAGAGTGTAATCCAACCCCTGCCCAACCACCTGTTACCACCACCTATGCACCTACTTTCTTTAGAAACATGCCCATTAAGTTCAATTTCATGAACTCACCACACTTCACCACTATTCCTGTTTCATCATCCACTGTAGAACCTACACTATTTAACCATGCATCCACATCCCACACAGCCCCTGTTGAAACAACCCCTGTTGAAACAGTCCCTAACACAGCCCCTGTTGAAACAGTCCCTAAAACAGCCCCTGTTGAAACAAGTCCTAAACCAACCCATGTGGAAACAACCACTACCAACCCTCTACCCTCACCAATCCAGCCCACAACCACACCTTCTACACCCACTGAACCTGTTATCCCTTTGCCACAAACTGTATCCATCCAAGAACTAGACTTTGTCTTAGGCCTATCACCCACAAATCCAAGCCTTACACCCTTTGAACATAATGAAGACCCTTTTGACCCACAAAACACCCCTGTCACTCAAACACCACCACCCTCACCCCATTCCACTCAACCATTCATGCCTAGTCCGAACCAACCTACTAGTCCTTTACACTCTGGGACTTATGACTATTATGAAGGTGTACATTCTGCCCACCATAGTCCTGAGCATAGCAGCCCTCATTTGGAGCAAGAAAGAGAGGAGGTTGATACAGGGGCTAGTTTGAGAAAGAGAATGCCAAGGAAGAAAAGAATGAGCAGAATTGAAACAAGAAGTTCCAAGAGGAGGAAAGAGGACAGTGAGAGATCAGAGGCTGAAGAAAGGGGATCTAGAAGAAGAAAAAGGTCAGAACAACAGTTTGAGGAAGGGCCAGGTATTTTTTTGAAACCCAAGCACTTGTTTAGCACACCCTTAGCAAGGAAAACATACTTGCAATTTTCTGAAAAAGTAGGGGTGGTACAAAAGGGGTTTTCACAACAGCTATTGTTGGCCAATCCTGACATCAAGGCCAGAATAGATTCTTTGGGTTGGGAGACTCTATGTGACACACCTAACCAATACAATCTTAGTTGGGTTAGGGAGTTTGACACTGAGGTAGCAGTCACTGATGGGGTAGAATTAAGAGTGAGAAAGACCCCTGTTTCATACTCACCCAATGCCATAAATGACCTACTAGAGCTCATCCCACCTTCATACTCTAAGTTAGATAGGTTGACTGCTGGGTGCACTGATGAAGAGCTTGATTTGATCTTAGCTAAGGTAGCCAATGAAGGGGTTGTTTGGAGTTTCAAGGGGAGGGCTAGGCTGCTAAAAACCCAATATCTGAAGCCTGAAGCCAATATATGGTGTTACTTCATGAGGCATACCATTCACCCCATGAGCCATGACACAAATTTGTGCCTAGAGAGAGTTTTGATCCTCTACTGTATCCTAGAGGCCAGGCCATTTGATGTTGGGAGGATGATATGCTCCAACATCAAGGCATGTGTGGAGAGAACAAATGGCAAGTTACTATACCCTTCCTTGATTCATAGGCTCATGCAAAAGGCTCAAGTATTAGCCCTGCCCAAGGATGTGATGTCTATGGAAAAGACCTCCATAGACAAGAAAAACTTGGATAGACTTATGAGGGTGAATGCCAATGTACAACCAGATGCACCAACCTCTTCAATGGCAGCCCTAAAGGATGAATTGTTAAAGGCAATGGAGGATCACATCAATGCTTTGAAGAGAACAATAGTGAAAAAACACTACAAACTGATGAAGAGGGTAGATGATTTGAAGAAGGAGGTTGATCTTTTGAAAAGGGAGAGGGTGCAATGGGCTGAATATAAGATACAGAAAGAAAGGACGCTTAGAGCTGCTTCCAAGCATGGGAAATCAAAGAAAATACTCAAGCTCCCACCTCCACCAAAGTCAATCCTTTTGCAGCATTCTGATTCTCCTACTCAGTCTGAGTAGGATAGGTTCCACCTCTTCTTCACTCTTTGAATATATTTTCTAAGCTTTGCATGATCATTTAGCTAAGTAAAGTCTATTTGTTGTTTTGTCATTTATAAGCATTTGCCATTTTGCTGTTTTTATATAAAGCTTGCTGCTGGCATGATCTTTTAGTATTAAGTTTGCTGTTTTTAAAAGCTTTTGATGTTTTGCTATTTTGGCATGCTTCTAGTTGTTGTTCATGACTGGATATTTTGTAGGTTTTGTTGAAGTTTGATGTTTTAAAGACTAGGGCATTTTTTTTTTTTTTTTTTAAAGTCCATAGTGTTTCCTCTGTTTTAATAGTAGTGTTTTAGGTCCTAGTAGTCTAATTTGGCTTCTAATTTGGGTACAATTTGAAACTCATTTTGATGTTTTCACATGAATTTTTGTTGTTTTAGACTTTATTGTTTTACATTAATAGGTCTAGTTTGTTGTTTGATTTTAGCTGTTTTCATTAGTTCTCTGCTATTTCATGTCTTGTTGATTGCTATCTTTTGTTTTGCTGTTTTGAGGAAACACCTTAGTTTTATTTTGATGTTTTAATCCAGTCCTTAGCATACAATTCCCTGTGCACTTAGGCCTGCCATTTGCTATTTTTACATAAATTTTTTGTTCTTTAAATTTGCTATTTACTCTATTGTTCATTTTTGTTGTTTTTGGGTAATAATCATTTCACTTCTGTTTACCAAAACATAATCCATTAGCTCAGCTTTTCTTTTCTTTTGTTTGTTGTTTAAACATAGTTGTTAGTCTTTGATTTGCTGTTTTTAGATAGCACTTTAGTTTCATTTTACTGTTTGGGCATAAGGTAATGTTATACTTATAGTTTGCTGTCCAATTTGCTGTGTTTAGATCTAGTTTCATGTTTGATTTGCTGTTTTTAATATTTGTTGTTTTAAGGATTTTCCATTTTGATTTGCTATTTTTAATGGTTAGATGCAGTTTTTATTTTGCTGTTTTTAGTCTCATATTGCCCTATGCCAGGAGTTTTCTTTGTTGTTTTAAGTTTTGTTGTTCTAATCCTACAAGGCATGTCATGATTAACAAATCTTAAGCCTTAAACTTGCCTGTGTAGTGATGTTCCTCTCTTTTTGCTGTTTTAAGCCTTATGCAGCCTTAGTCAGGTACTTTCTTTGTTGTTTTGACCATAGCTTGTGCCATTCTGTTTAGCATAGTCTGTTAATTTTGAGTCTTGAGTGTTGTTTTAGGTTGCTGTTTTTAAAATTAGATTTTGTTGTTTCCTATTTTGCTGTTTATTTGTTGTTTTCATCAAGCATTAGGCCTCATTCTTGTTTAACAATCCATGATCACTTAGGCTTGTCAAATGCTGTTTTAATCTTAATAGTATGTCCTATTTATCTCATTTGAGATGTTTTGCTGTTTTAACCTTTATGATCATATTTTTCATGTTGCTATGTCCTGTTTCACATAATCTGCTTCCCAGACTCTGTTTGTTTATAATATTAACTTTGTTATTTTCACTAGTAAATTGTTTATATATTTGCTGTTTTCAAATTTCTCTGCTGTCTTTAGCTATTGTAGGCATATCCTAGTTTAAAGACATGGTTTGCCTTTCTTTTGATGATTTTGTCTTCTCTTTGCCTCAATTGAGAATGTTTGCTATTTTTAGGATATCATATAGTCCTTGTCATGCATTATCTTTGATGTTTTGGTATTATCAGGTTGCTGTTTGCACAGCTGGTCTGATGGTTTTGAGGGAGGACCGTGGTTGATGTTCTCATTTGTTTACCTCCCTAGTCTATGCTAAAACAAGTTCAGGCTAAGTCATAAGAGGACAATGGCAATCCCATTGTCTGGTTCCATTTGGTATTTTTCATGGTGAAACAATGGCAATCCCATTGTTTAGTTTCATATGCCCATGTTGTTTGGTAATGCAGTCCTCTGGTTGACTGTTTTTGTTTGAAACTCATTCCATGTACCACATCCTCACTCTATGGTCAATTTGACTTAGAGTTGGATTGTTGGTTGTGTTTAAATCCTTCAGTTGAGTCTTTGAGTCCTTTTATTTGCACAAGATGACCAAGTCACACTTGGGACTTCTCATCTTTGTTTTTTTGCTTCAATTGTTTTCAGTTTGAGTCTTTTTTCATTTTAAAGATAGTCAATTACACTTGTATTGATCATCTTTGCTTTTCTGTTTCATTTTAAGATTTTGGGCACTGATTTTAAGTAGCATATCTTCCTTTAGCCTTATATGCACCAAAAATAGAATAAAAGATGAATTTGTTGTACAAATGCTTGAAGTGATGCCATAGCCACAATAATCCAAAGCTTAACCATCTTTGTCTTAATTTGAGCCTCTAGAACTAGCCAACCATTTCAAAAGCTTGAACTTGATTCAATTGTGCTTTCATTTCAATTTGGCCAATTTGTAGCCTTCATACACTCATAATGAGGACATTGTTTCCCTTAAGTTTGGGGGAGGGTCCTAAAAGTACCAAACACTTTATAGAGTTCATGATATATATGCATCAAGACCAAAAGACAAACAAAGGAACATAGTTCCATGTCTTGTGCATACAAAAGAGTGTCAAAGTACACCGGAATGTTTGAAAAGGACCAAAGTGTCCAAAATACCTCAATATGAGATGCCATAGCAGTAAAATTGTGCTATGGAGTGAAAAAAGAAAGAAGAGGTAAAAGGCATGCAATGTAAAGAAAAAGACAAATGCAAGAACCCAATTCAAAGTCCCAAATTATCTGTTGAATCTAGTATAGCAATAGAAATGTAGGCTAGCTTATGGTTTGGCAATATGAAAGACTTAAGTTTGGGGGAGCTAGGTTTATGAAGGGCTATGGATATCAAGCATCAAGTCATGAGTAGAACACTTTCATTCAAAAAAATTCAAAAATATGCATACTTTGGCTATTGAATGTTTATGCTCAAATTTTTTAGTTTATTAGAACTTTGAGTCTTTTTATTTGTCATTTTCTGTTGTTTGGGGACCAACAACGTGTGATAAGCGTTATTTTATTAACCTTATTACATCATTTTCTTAACCATTTTCCCTTGTTTTATTTGCCCATTAGTGTCTTAATTGAGTCTTTTTATGTCTTTTTCATATATTAGTAGTAATATAGTATATCTAATGTTAATTCCCTGTTTTTACCGGTTTTTGATGATTTTTGAGCCCAGTCCTACGGCAGTCCTACAGGACCAAGAGTGGCAAGGTCCTATAGTACCCGTCCGAGAGCTGAAAATCTGCTTGGGCCATGGAGAAATGGGCTGATCCATAGAGGAGGCGTGGTCAACGACCTTGGGCCCGGTCAAAGCCCAGTTTTGAAGAAGCTTTTGTCTTATTAGTTGGCACCCACTTTGTGATCTTCCTTAGCCTATATAAAGAAGGCTTAAGGCTTGTTTTAAAACAATTTTTTTCATACTTTCTACCATTTAACACTTGTGATATTAGTGATAATTGCTCTCTAGAATATTGCTTTCGGTTCTAAGCTTTCGGTTTAYGTTGTTTGACTTTTCAAGAACCAACTTTTGTAGTTGTGCTTTCATTCTCAAATTTTAATTCAAGTATTCGTGTTTAATCTTCATCTCATTTCTGTTCTAAGTTACGTTACGTTTTCTTATCTTTTACGAGTTACGAATTAATCGATCGTTGTTGCTTTACATCGGATCTCATCCGTTGTG